CTCATCAAGACTATCAGAGGATCCACTATATAAGCTGTCTTCAGACCTTGCCTCAAGGCCGCAGTGTTGCTCCAGTTGGTCAGCGCTAAAGCCTAGCTCCTTGTGTTATCTCCATGACTTTGAATCCAGGTTGGATTCTAACCTGTCTCTCTGTGTTCCCAGGTAGCCCGAGTCTCCTCCGTGATAGCTCAGGAAGAGCTAACCTGCCGAGCCGACCCTCTGAGCCAAACCCTGAAGACTCTCTGAGATTTCCCAAGCAGCTCTGGACTAGAGCTGGGGAACCAAAGCCAAGGTCTGTTCAAGCTAGACGTGAGACGCTGAAGCAGCAAACGGACTCTGCTGATAAACTCTTCTCCAGAACCAACAGTGACTCTCCCAAGGAGAACCTCAAGAACCCTCAAGGTACAATCAGAACTCACTTGGAAATCAAATCCTGTCAGCAGTCCATAACTGCTCTGTCTCTCACGCAGACTCCGGTGAAACCAGAACCCAGGCCCGAACCAGTCATCAGTACATTCTGTGTGTTGTGCTTAATAAACTTGTTAAACTTTCATCCTTGTGTCCGTCAAGTGGTGTTCTGCATAATTGGGTCTCCATTAGAGAACCCATCATGACAATTATTCCCCCATTCTGAATTGTACTTTCAATTTTTTAATTTTTTAAATGTCACAAAAAAATCATATCTTACTCACACAATATCAATGAACTGTACGCATGCAAATAGCATTTTTCAACCCTTTTAAATCCCTTTGAATCATTAAATCACAAACAATATTTATCTTACTTAATTTGCATATTTTTAAATAAATAAAAATAAATATTCTAACTAAAAAAAACTGCATTTAGGCTCCTACAAATACTGTCATTAATATTTGGTTAAACCCCCTTCACTAAAATGTATAGAAATAAGATATGTACAGGATTTTATTAGGTTTAGAGATACATTTTTGTATTACTCACTCTTGTTTTCTGATAGGGTCAGATCCATCTCTCCATCCAATTGCTGGCTATTAATAGCCTCTGTGTGTTCGCTGTTAAATGGATTTTGTCTCCACTTTAAAAGAAAAGAGGAAATGATGAATGAAACATCAAAACCAACAAGCAGCATTTATTGCTTTTTTTAAAGGTGATTCACTGTTGACCTACTTTAGGCCTTGATTGTAACACAACTTCTGCAGCATTGCTTGAAGTTTCCTGTAAATCGCGGTTTTGATACCTGTTAGAGGGAAAAGTGTTCATCTTTGTCATTATAGCATCTGCAAACTTACCTTTTCACAACCCTAATATTGAATTTGTTTTAATAACACTTGCTTCTAAAAACACATAACAAGAAATGTAATGCTAAATGTAGCGTCGGAGGTGATCAAAATCAGAAAGCACAGGATTAAATGTGAGATTTATAATTCACTGCTGGTTTTAACATGCTTTTTGATGCTGTAATTATTAAAGAGAAGCACTTATTTAGTCTTTTAGTCAATATTTAAAGAAAAGGAGAAGTAAACTTTTCATTTGACGATTATGTTATAGTGAACAGTTTCAGGTTATAATAACTGTAGGAAGGGTCCAAAATTAAAGCTTGACACTTGCCAAATGCGACTTAATTTTCATTTGGTGAGTTGATGCAAGAGCAACTTTTGCCATAAGGCAAGTAAATATTTGAACCACAGTTTCGCTTTATGGAAAGCCAAATGGTTCAAGCAGAAAACACGTGAATAACCTTTGTTTTGCGTGCTTTTTGCGCATTGTTAACTAGTTGTCTTCGCCTTTCAATCTGACTACACAACAATTACGCGTTGACAACATGTCAAATACACGTCAACTACATGTTGATTTCATGTGATTATGAGCCATTCAACTCTTGCCCAATTTGAGCTGGTGGTCATTGCTTATTTCCTGTTGACTGCTGAGTCGTAGGGTTAAACTACTTTTTGTAACTTGGGGGAGGTTTGCTCGAAGCAGCTGATCATATCAACATGTAGTTGACCTGTATTTGGCATGTTATGGAAAGCCAAATAGTTCAAGAACACAAATGATTTCTGACATGTAGAGAACACGTAATTAACATGTTTTGCACGTGGTTTGCCCCTGTGTTACTGAGTCTGCCTTTGAAAACATGTTAAGAACACGTTGACCATGTCAAGTACACTTTGAACAACATGTCAAATACACATAACCTACATAGATGGCAGGAGCCATCAGGATGAACATATCTTTGCAGCAAAGGTTCCCTCGGGCACCGGCTACCACAGCGAGTCCAAACCTCCAGAGAAATTGTCTATTTCTTTCCATTGGGCGATGCTGATTTACACCATAAAACCACTATCTTGGTTTCTATTTGCTTTTACTATGCCTAGTTTCAGCTTCACCTATAAAACTTGGTGCTGTCCCTCTTCAGGTTTTTCTTCAATATTCGCCCAGATCTCCCTTCTTTATTAAGTGTTGAGTAGGGTTGCGCCGATGCCATTTTTTGGCCGATACCATACATATACCATCTGTTTGAAATTGATGTGTGTGTGTATCTATAAAGAACTGATTACTGCTTGGATGTAAAACAGCTGCCATCGGGGCTTTGTCAAGCTGCTGCCTACCTTTGTGAAGCAGGAAAAAGGCTGATAGAAAGGGAATTAAGTAAAACTTTTTATTGTCTACCTGGAATGGCTGACAATAGTTGAATAATGTTTTCGCTCTCAAAATTCTGTCGGTGCCCTATTTGTCGGTACTTGCCGATACTGATACCACCATTTAAGTGCAATATCGGGGCCCTGCCCGATACGGGTATCAGTATTGGTATTTGTATTTGTATCGGTATAGTATTTAGTCTCCTCCGCCTCTAGATAAGCACATTCAGCAATCCTGGCAGTAAGCTTCCTCTTTTGCTCCCTTCCTTTGTGAAGGAAACCTGCCTTACCTCTACTGGCATGGTCAATCCTCTTTTTGTCCTTGTGCTTGAAGGCCCTCATCAGCGCTCCATCAGCATCGCACTAAGAGCACATTACCAGCCCTTAGGTGGCAGTACTATGCTTAAAGTGGATACATGTTTCCTGAGCTATCCTATCCAATCTATTAGCGCGCATTTCAATTCATAGCATCAGTCTACTACCAGTGTCCCAAAGACTTATTAATTCAAATAAAATCTTTTTAGGACGCTTCGCTGTGTTGGGGCTTGAAAAGTTCAGTCAAGGCAACTGGAGATGAAGGATTTGTAGAAGCCGTTTCTCCTCTCATTCAAGAGGCTTCTTTAGTTCCAACTAGTGGTGGGAAGCACTTAGATTAATATACTGTAGGTGTAACAAAGAATTAGGGGAACAAAAGGTGGCTCTGATCCCTCCTACTGGATTGGCCATGGAGGTCACCTAGAGGGTTTTAATGGTCGTTAGGGGGTTCTGATGGGTTGTTAAGTCCCTCGTCAGAGTGTTTTCACTAACATGCCTCATTGAAGTGTGTCTTCAGGGTATTGTTCCTAAAAGTGATTTGGAAGTAGGTAAAAAGTTATGTCAAGGCCCCGTCCACACGAAGTCAAAACGAACACGAAACGCTAATATTTTCCAGAACGT